TTCGTGTAGGGTTTAGGGTTTAGGATTTAGGGTTCAGGGTTCAGGGTGTAGGGTTTAGGGTTCAGTGGGTATCACATGGGAAGTTACGTTCCTTTCCCCTTTAACTAGGAGCCCTTGTAAAGCCCCAAAACCTTAAACCCTAAACCCTAAACCCAAACCGTGCCTCGACAGAAACGTGCCAGGGTTCCTTTGTGGGTTTCTTCGGTTGATGTGCAACGCTGCTTGGTTTCAGGGTTTGGCACGCGTGGCTTTCTGTGGCACAGGACCCCAAACCCTAGCCCTAAACTAAACCTTCAGCTCGAAAAACCCTAAAGCCCAAACCCTAAGCCCAAACTAGACCTCAAGCTCGAAACCCTCTGAAACGGGATACTTTTGCGGGAGCACGCGATATCGGATTTTGGATTGCTGCGGTTGACCAGCTAAATAACACAGTTAATACAGGATATGTTAGGTCTTGGGGTACGTTAGACGACCCGCCCTCGAATCTTAAAGCCGTGCCTCCAACGGAAACCGAAGTGCAGGAGGAGACACAGGAAATAGCTGGCAACCACCTTAGCTTTGGGGTTCAGGGTTTAGGGGGACTTTAACCTTAGATCAACTGGGTCCGCTGGCTAAGAACCTTGATTGACACCAGAAGGGACATTGACCATATGCCATGTGCCTTCTTTGCTATGGTGTCTTAAGGCACTTCAATTCCGTAACAACAACCCAGCGAAGCCCGAGTCAGAGTGACGTAGGGCTCACGTGTCTTACCTGAATCACAGGCTTCTGATTCAGCCTCCGTCATATGAGGACAGGAATTCTGCTTCTTGCCGTTCGTCTCGCCAAAAGGCTTCATACCCAATGCATGTTAAACGAACCTTCGATCGCACAGTGAATATCTACACCGGTATAGGGGGGAGACTCTTGCCTAGCTGCTCATTCTTAGTGTTTAGGGTTTAGGGTTCAGGGCTAGCGTTTAGGGTTTAGGGCCTCAACCCTAAACCCTAAACCCACTACCCACTGAAGTGGTGTCGTCCTCCTCTACACCCCAAGCTCCTCCCCCCCCCGAACCTCCCACCCCAGCCCAACCCTCTCCAGCTGAGACTCTTGACTGCACACCTTAACCCAGAAAGTTCCAAACTCTGCCACCAAAACACCATTTGCTGCGCATGACCCTAAACCCTAAACTCCTAAACCCTAAACCACGAAACCCTCAACCCCTAAACCCTAAACTCCTAAACCCTAAAGCCCACAACCCTAAACCCCTAACCCTAAACTCCTAACCCCCGAAACCCTTAACTCCTAAACCCTAAACTCCCAAACCCTGACAAGCTGAACGTGAAAACCTAAAACTCCGAATCACAGGCCGAAGTCGCAAGGCGATCTCCCCAGGTTCGATAGATCATGTTCAAGAACCTCTGGCTTGTAGGGTTTAGGCTATTAAAGTTTAAATATATAAAAATTATATATATATATATATATATATGGTAAGAGAGGGTTTAGGGTTTAGGGTTTCGGGTTTAGGGGAGCGTATACGATGGAGGACTCAGTGCCTACAGTGCTGGTGTTATGGGGTGTGTAAAGGTGCTGTAGGGGTTTGCTGACAGCCTCCCACCCGGGTGTGCTTGAGATGGTTGCAAGCACAAGCGCGAAAGACAGAAATGTCTGCTACCCTAAACCCTAATCGCATAAACCCTAAACCCCTAAACTCAAACCCTAAGCACATAAACACTAAACCCCTAATTTTGTGGGACCCCCCAAAAAGGACCCTAATTTAGACACCTACCCATGTATGCAACTCTCTCAACACTCCCCGAAGAAACCCAAAGTTGAATACAAAGTCATGGCCAAGGCACATGTAACTTGTCCCAATCTTCTGGCAAGAGGCCTGGCAAAGATAATAAGCTGCTGGACTTCTGGGATACCTATAGTCTCCGCCATGTTATGCACCAAACTTCGGTGTGGGAAAGCATTCGCAACCAGCCATCTGGAGTGTTAATAGGAAAGCCCAAAATCCGGTTTAGGGTTTAAGGAAAGGGCCGTGTCGCCCGTAGAATGCCCCATGTAATATTACCCTTGCCCAAACATCTCCGAAGAAATTGCGGTGTCTATGCTGGAAGAAGAACAGTTCGTCGTCTTCTGCCTAGGATGTATGGGCAGAAGGCCGTGTATTCTACTACTCAGGATCCTAGGCCTAGGCATCGGGGGCAACGTGTGCTGGGATGTGAGAGTGGGAGTGAGAGAGAGTGAGAAAGAGAGATGGAGGGAGAGTCAGTACTTGAGTGAGTGAGTGAGCGAGCGCGAGAGCGAGTCAGTGATTGAGTGCGTCAGTGAGGGAGTGAGTGAGAGCGTGAGTGCGAGTGTCGTAATCGCACATCCAGGACACCGCTTTTTCGAGCTCCTGAAGACACAGATCCTACACGCAAGCAGCTGATTTTGAAATCCCTGAAGGGCTACCTATAGTCTCCATTGTAGTTCCTTGTTTGGGTTACCATATAGGATCGGTGGTTTAACCAAAAAAAGGGAACTACAATGGATCCTATACAGGTAGACTTTGAGAGCCTTGTACTTGTCGCAGGCGCCGGGAACCGCGTAGGGCCCGCAGATACGGCAGCGCAAGGCATTGATAGGGCCCGTCATCCACTCCTCTGGGAAGAAAACCCTAAACCCTAAACCCTAAACCCTTAAACCCTAAACCCTAAACCCCAAACCCTGAACCCTAAACCCTAAACCCTAAACCGCATGACTACTTGAAGCCTTACAACTGCTTGATTTACACTCCGGTCCGCTGACTAAGAGACGTCCCGCAACAACCCGAAACGAGTCACCCTCGGACATTTTCCTGGGCTTTGAAGTAACCAGGGAGAAAAAAGTATAGACTTCTATTTCATAATGGTTCCTTTAAGGAACAGGTCCCCAAAAAAGTATTAAAGTATGGTACTCCAAAGCCCAGTTTCTGTTCAGCATCAAGGGAGCGGCTTTAGCTAGAGGCTTATACCCTACCCGGACCCCCTGGGATTAGGGCACCAAGTTTTATGGTTAAGATCGGTCATATAGAAGAGTAGACACCCTAAAAAGGGTAGGGTATGAGCCGACAGGTAGGGTTGAGGGTTGAAGGTACGGGCTTCAGCAGCACAAGGTTCGGTAGTCGAGTTCGGTTTGCTTAACAGCCCTCTGAGCTCGTAGCTGTTGTAACAAACATCCTAAGGAAGACCCAGACGAAGAAAAGGCACCACAATATGCAGTAACCTACTCTATATGTGTATGTGTATATATATATATACATATCTATATATATATATATATGTACAAATATATATATATATATATATATATATATAAACACACACACACACACACACACACGTGTAACGGTGATTCTAGGCTGCTATGATCCTAAGACTAAGGATCCAGCACCAGGCCCCTTTGGAAGGACCCGAAGCCCGATTCCCTGAAAGCCCTAGGCCCTAAGCCCTAAACTCTGAACCCTAAATCCTACAATAAGGGTTTAGGGTTTTGGGTTTAGGGTCCCTAGACCCTACCAGCCTTAAGCCCTAAGCCTAAACCCTAAATTCTCTAGGCCCTGAAGCCCTAAGCCCTACACTCTATAGGCCCTTAAGCCCTAAACCCCTCCCCCCCCCCACACCCTAAGCCCTAAACCCTAAACTCTAAACCCTAAACCCTAATTAAACCCTAAGCCTAAGCCCTAAACCCTCCCTAAACCCTAAACCCTAATTAAACCCTAAACCCTAAACCCTAATTCAACCCTAAACCCTAAACCCTCAACCCCCTACACCCTCAGCCAGGAGCGAGGTTCCAACACCATGCCCCGGTTGAAGGCTTCGGAGAAGGTGATGTCGCAGCCAAGGACGCGTGAGAGCCACAAGCAGTGCCTTGGGTTGACCGGGCCAAATGCTTCTAGTTCCGGGTTTTAGGGTTTTAGGGCTTTAGGGCTTTAGGGTGTTAGGGTTTGGGGTTTTAGGGTTTTAGGGTCTAGGGTTTAGGGCTCCGTTGGTTTTGGGGTTTTGGGGTTTGGGAGGTTAGGGGTTTCGAGGTTTAGGGCAGGGGTTGGGGTTTAAGGCTCAGGGTGTAGCCCAAGTCTCCTTAAAGGCGCCATCGGGTCGTATAGGGGTGTCACCGGGTGTGTAAGGCATAATTAGGGAATACTCGCGGAATACACAGGAACCCCAAACCACTAAACCTAGCATGACTATGTGGTTTAGGGAATACCCTAAACCCGAAGCCCCAAACCCTAAGGTGTTAGGCTTTTACTGGTTTGAGGGTCGTTGGGCTGCTTGGGAACTTCGGGGTGTGGATTCAGGCCCTGCAAGAATGTGGGGGTTTCTGAAAATGAGGGGTACCTTATAATAGGGATCCTACTATTTAGGGTATTATATTAGGGTCCTCTATTCTCGGAAACCCCATGTTGGGCAGTGGTGACGAGCAAACCCAGGTGGGCAAACACCCTTCGACTTGCAAGAAGAAACCACGAAACCTTGTGTTATGCGTTTAACCGTAGGCCCACTCCTCTGAACTCTACAGGTGTGTTGGGGGGTTGAGGGCACTTGGTCAAAGATGCATCCCAGCCCAGTGGACGTGCATCTTGTCCGGCTCAGTGGCTTGAACGTAGTGGCTCCTTGTCACCAAGGCATTTAAGTCTAAGGGCTTTCAGAGCTCAAGGCGACACCGGTTGGGGTGTGCGGCTAAAACTTGGGGGTTGAGAGTCTAGGGCCTAAAAGGCTGAAATGGTGGGGCTTAGTTACTAGGTTGGTACGAGCCCTAAGCCCAAAAACCCCTAAGGCCCTCAACCCCTGTGGAGCAAAGGCGCACCCGCTGGCTGTGCATCAGACCCGGAAACTGCCGGACCAGTTGGCCATGAAATTTGCTCTCAGTGATCATGCGATGAACGAACATCGCGTTGACCTGCGAAACAGGAAAGCTCGAGGCCTTAAGGCCCCCTAAACCCGAAACCCCAAACCGAAAGGCATGTTGTCTTTTGTGAGGAGAGAAAGGTTTGGAGCTTAAAAGGCTTCACAGGATGAGCGAATGACATGACCTGGGAGGGGCGTCAGCGTTGAAAGATCTTCAAGGAAGGTCTTTGGGGTTTGGTGTTCATAGAGGTTCCGGGGCTACCCAGAGGCCCCATAGTAGTTCCTTCTTGGGGTTCATATTTTGCATCCTATTACGGAATCCCAAAACTGAACTACTATGGGGCCTATGGGTAGGGCCTATAGAGTTGTGGAGTTTCGGGTTCAGGGCTTTTTAGTAAATGGCTCGGGGGTTGAGGCTCGAGGTTTGGGGTCTATGGCATGGACGGTTTTCGGTTAGGGTTTAGGGTTTAGGGGTTTAGGGGTTTAGGGTTTAGGGTTTAGGGTTTCGTGGTTTCGTGTTTCGTGGTTTAGCGGTTTAGGGTTTAGGAGGACAGAAGGAAGATAAGTGGAACTACCCTGACCAACCTTACCCTGCCACAGGGAAGAATCCCCGAAGCAAGGAGGGATCCTTACGATGACTTGAAGCATACCATGCCAATCATCGTTGTAAGCTATCTTGGGCCAGCTTCTTGGGGGAATATGCATACATATTATCGACTTACACCATCAAGAAACCCTAACCCCTAAACCCTAAACCCCAAAACCCCAAACCATCCGGCTGCCGTGCATGCAACTTTGTATTGAAGCGATGGCAGGCTCTCAGTGGCGCCTGAATGCCCGGAGACCCGGCTGCTACAACTTCAGGGCTTAATGTTTGCAGTTTAGGGAATAGGGTTTAGGGTTTAGGGTTTAGGGTATAGGGTTTAGGGTTTAAGGTTTAGGGTATAGGGTTTAGGGTTTAGGGCTTAGTGTTTTGAGTTTAGGGAATAGGGTTTAGGACGTCCCAGGATTGTGGGTTTAGACTCTAGAGATTAGTGTCTAGGGAGGGTTTAGGATTTGCCAGGATTTAGGGTCTATAGCTTTGGGATTAGGGTTTCGGGTTCAGGATATCCAAGGTTTTGGGGTTTGAGTCTATAGGGACTGGGTTTTAACGCACTTATAGGGCTCAGGGATTTGGGGTTTATGGAACAGAATGCCTCATGCTCCTGGGCCTCACCTTCCTCAAGCTACTGCGCCAAAACCTTAGAGGGGTTTACGTGAAAAGCCCGGTATCAAGGTATGTTTAAACCCAAGCAGGGACTGGATGATCCTCTGCAAGTGCCTGAGTCCTAGATCGCACTTCTTACCCTGGGAACTGGAGGTTGGCTTTTGGGTTTAGGGTTTAGGGTTTGGGGACGGTTCAAGCTTGCCCACTCTACTGCTAAGATCTACTCTCCCGAAGCACCAGCCCTTCCGCCTCGGCGATGCATCCAAAGGCTCCAGTGTAAGGCCGTGTGGTCCCCAAGAAATACAGATTCGGATGCTTCCTGCAGACAGAGCTTCAGGTTTAGGGTTTTAGGGTCACGAGTCCAGGGCATTCGGGCTTTTAGGGTTTAGTGTATGTGTCTTGTCCTGGGATGTAGGGTACGTAGGGGTTTAGGGCTGCGGGACTTCGATTCAGATGCTTTCACTAGGCTGTGTTTGGGGCTTGGGGTATGGGGTTAAGGTTTCGGGCTCGTGGTTTGTGATTTTTCTAACTTTTGGGCGTTCAGGAGTGGCCTAACCTGGGTCCTGCTTGAGGAACTAAGTCTAATGTAATGTGCCAGGGCAATGCAGGCATCCCCCGTCCTAGGTGCTCCGATCGTCGGAACTTGAGCCTAAGCCCAAAACCCTAGTTCAAAACCCTAAACATCCTAGCTACGTGAACCCCAACACCTAAGCCCCAAAACCCCTGAACCTATAATCCTAAAGCCTGTATACCCTAAACACCTCTCCCCTAACTACGAGTAATCACCCTAAAGCCCCTTAAACCCCTAAACCCGAAGCCCCTAAACTCCTAAACTCCTAAACCCTACGCCCCTAAACCCCAAAACCCCAAAAGTCCTAAACTCCTAAACCCCTAAACCCTAAACCCCTAAACTCTTAACCCCTAAACCCTTAAAACCCTAAACCCCTAAACCCTCAACCCCTAAACCCCTAAACTGCTAAACCCCTACACCCTACACCCCTAGACTCCTACACCTTAACCCCTAAACCCCTAAACTCTAAACCCTAAACCCCTAAACCCTAAAGCCTAAACCCTAAACCCCGAAACCCCTAAACCCAAAACTCCTAAGCCCCAAGCCCAGTAGGAACCTCAGCTCCTCAACCCAGACCCAACAGTTTAGGGGTTTAAAATTTAGGGTTTAGGGGTTCCGGGGTTCAAAATTTATGGTTTAGGGGTTTAAGGGTTCAAAATGTAAGGTTTAAAGGTTTAGGGGTTTAAAATTTAGGGTTTAGGGGTTTAGGGGCTTAAAATTTAGGGTTTAGGGGTTTAGGGGTTTAGGGGTTTAGGGTTTAGGGTTTAAGGGGTCTAGGCTTTAGGATTATTACTTGTAGGTTTTGGGGGAGAGGGGTTTAGGGGTTTAGGAGTTTACTGGTTTAGGGTTTAGGACGTCAGGGTTTAGGGCTTGGGGTTAGGGGTTTAAGGTTTAGGACGTCCGGGTTTAGGGTTAAGGGTTTAGGATGTCAGGGTTTACCTGGACCCTAGAGAACCTACATTTTTTTAGGACTCCTTATTATGATTTCTTTATATACGTCCTTAAAAAAGCAGGTTGTTTGGGGCTAAGGTAGGGTTTAGGGTTGCTCGCGGATGACTTCTTGAAGGGCAGTTTGGGGTTTAGGCTCTAGGGTTTCGGGGTTTAGGGATTTAGGATTTAGGGTTTAGGGTTTAGGGTTTAGGATTTAGGGCCATAAATAAAGCTTTAGGGTGACCCTAAGCCCTAAACCCTAAACTTTAGGGTTTTTCGGGCTCAGGGTCTCAAGGCTCGGAAGTGTTTGCTGGAAGCCCAAGCCCGAGGTTCTGGTCCTCGGATTTCGGGTTTGAGGCTTTTGACTATGCGCTTCGGGCTTGGGGTCTTGGATTTAAGGTTTAGGGTTTTAGATTTTGGGTTTAGGGCTTTTTTTGACCTGGGATTCTGGATTAAGGCATTAGGGGGGATTTGGGTTTTTGACTTGGGATTCGGGATTTAGGCATTTGGGGGGGGTTTGGGATAAGGGTGAACGCCCAAGCCCCAATGCTCGATGGCCTGCTCCAGATTCCGAAGAGGTGGTCCGTATAGGAGTAGTTTGGGCAGAAAGGCATGCTCAGGGTCTTGTGCTTCGCCTGCGCCGGGCTTTACATCTCAACATCCGTTCCATTCGAACATGACAAGACGAGCAACTAAACCCTAAACCCTAAACCCCTAAACCCTAAACCCTAAACAGCAAGTTGTAAGATTTTTGGTACCAGGAGGCCTCGGTGTCGGTGGCCGTTTGAAAGGGTGTATATAGGATTTTCGGTGTGTTGGTGGGAGGGGAGCAGGGCGGGGGGGTGGTCTCAGGTCGGGCGTTTCTGCAAACCCCAAAATAAGGTTTAGGGATTGGGGTTTAGAGGTTTGGGTTTAGGGTTTCGGGGATTTGGGTTTAGAGTTTAGGGTTTAGTGGCTTGGTTCTGGGTTTCTTAAACAAGTTCCTTCACAGCTTCAACCTTGTGCTTACTGTAATACGACAACACACTTAATTACCCCGGAACCCTAAACCCAAAATTCTTACTATGGAATACAATGGCTTGTCTTGGGACGGGACTTTCTCGGCATAGGAGTCACCCTTACAAGGCACCCCCTTGTCAGCTGGGACATGCAGAAAAGCAATCCTGCAAACCCCAAGCCCTAAACCCGAACCCCGACCCTGCCAACTCCAACCTTCCAACCTACCCCCATCTGGGAAATAATGCTCCTATTCTAGGTTGTGGTATATACCTCAATAACAGGGTTTTGAACCCACAAGCCCAGGTTTAGGGTTTAGGGTTTAGCGATCAGGCCCAAATTTATGGGCTGTGCAGTTTACATCAAGAGCTCGAGGCCGGATTCTGGACTCTCTAGTTAGCGGGGTTTGAGGGAAAGGATGGTGTAATGTAGGGGCCTTAATACTTAGAATAGGGTTGTAAGCTTCGTATAATTATAGCCGAATATACCTCCAAACCCGATTCGAATTTGTAAGGCGCCTTTGTTAGGACTTGGGGCTTCATAACGTTCAGAGTTTATAGCGGTTTGGGCTCAAGGTAATGAAAAACCCCTTTCTCCCTAAAGCCAAAGACACGACACCCACACGATGCCGAAGAACATTAGACGCCTTCCACACGCGAAAAGCACGGACCCTACAACTCCCCAGGGTCCGCATCGGCTGTAGGGTTTGGGATTTAGGGTTTAGGGATTATTTTGGGTTTAGGGTTTAGGGCTTAGGGTTGAGGGTTGAGGGTTGAGGGTTTAGGGTTCAGGGCTCAGGGTTTAGGGTCTCTGGTGCTCTGGGCGGGTTTGGGAGGCTCAGCCTCGTCGCAGTTCAGAACCTCGTCGAACTCCACCTGCGTTCAGAGCATGAGAGCCGTTACGGTTTAGGGTTTAGGGTTTAGGGTTTAGGGTTTAGGGTTTAGGGGTTAGGGTTTAGGGTTTACGGTTCATATAGGATTTATTGCGAAATATAATGTTGAAACTGCATGACTGCATGAGGGTAGTTTTCAATGTTAGGGTCTTTTTTAAGGTCCTTTTTGCAAGGGTGCCGTACTACATTGGGGACCCAAAGAGGGACCCTAATTTAGAGAACTACCCATGGAGCTTCCGACTACACCTTAGAACATATCGAAGCAATGTACCTTAAATTAAATTAGTGAGTGTACCTGAAAGCGTATTAAGGAATTTACCGTAAATCAGATTAAGGAACCTACTTTAGATCATATTAAGGAATATATGTATCTTAAGTCATATCCCAGTATGACTTAAGGTACCCTAAACCCTAAACCCTAAACCCTAACCCTAAAACCCTACCCTAAACCCTCAATGCTCAACCCTAAAACCCTAAACCCTAAACCCTAAAACCCTAAACCCCAGACCCTATAAATCAAGGGATATTGGAAGGTCTGGAAGACGGCGGCCTCCTCGCCCCGTACGCGGTAGCGCTTCTCTGCGATGTGCTCCACGTCGCTTCGGGGATGAAGAGACACCTCGAGAAAGAGGGGAGGTGGGTAGAGTTTGGGCTTTAGGGTTTAGGGTTTAGGGCTTAGGGTCTAGGAGGGGAGGTGGGTAGTTTTAGGGTTTAGGATTTTTTTTAAAGTGTAGTGTGCAGTTTAGCCTGCCTCTAGCAGGGTTTAGGGGTTTAGGGTCTAGGATTTTGGCTTTAAGGTTTAGTGCAAGGGCCTTTGTGTTTTAGGGTTTAGGGTTTCGGGGAAGCAAGCTTTTGACTCCGGGTTTTGTTGGTTCCCGGCTCGGGAAACAAGCGTTGTGTTTTTGACGCGAGTACAAAAGAAAAAGGGGCTGGGGTCTACCAAAACCCTCCAGGACAGTTCCCATTCTTTCTTATGCAGTTTTATGGGACCCCAAACCCTAAACCCTAAACCCTCACCCCAAAGGCCTGAATCGTGGCTACCGTGCTGTATGCATGGTGTTGCGGGCGCATCTGAAAGGGACCCTGAAGCAAACTCCATAGGGTTTAGGATTTAGGGGTTTAAGGTTTAGGGGTTAGGGTTTAAGACGTACAAACGTGTTATCAACGAGTCATCTTGATGTCCAAGGCTGCCTGAAATCCCCTGAACTCGTGACACATGACCAAGAGCTGCGAGCTGTGCCCTAAAGCCGTGGCGGACAAGAAGCTAGCCCCTGCTGGATGAAGAAATAGATGTCGTTGAGGTACACTCCCTCCTTCAGCATCCAGTCACGGTACCTCAGAGTTTAAGGATGTATCCCTAAACCCTAAACCCTAAACCCTAAGGATGTATCACCTGAAGCCCTGCGAAGGCCAAGGGCACCCTACACTACAGCCCAAACGCATAAGCGAAGTTACACCAAACCCGCGGCTGCAGCCGGTTGAGGGTTTTGGGGTTTAGGGTTTGGGGTTCAGGGTTTAGGGTTTAGGGTTTCAGGTCTGGGGTTCAGGCTTTAGGGTTTAGGGTTCAGGGTTTGGGGTTTAGGGTTTAGGGTTTAGGGTTTGGGACACTGATTTCAACCCCAACCCTCAACCCTCTTGCGCCTGTCGTCGTCGTAGAAACGGGCATACTCATCCACCGGCCACTGCTTCACCAAATATCCTTGGCAAGAAACTCAATGGCTCTGAGCTAAAGCCCTAAACTCTCAACGCGATTGATAGAACCCCAACCTACATTGCTGTCGCCGGGTCCCTATACAAGATACAACAAAGTACGTGATGGTACTTTCAGGTAGGGTTCAGCGTCGATGGACGCTAGACCTAGCAGAACAATCAAAGTCAAGAAAAGTAATTTCGGGGCCTTAATAATGGCCTATCATATGATTTCGGGGGTTCCTGATTCTAATTGTAGTATAACATACCCCCCAAAACCCTCTTCTAATTTCTAAGGCCCCTATATTAAAGCCTTCCTTCCCGAGTCCACGCCGCCCAACCCACCGGGAACGTCCACGTTCGCAGGGTTCACCAGGCCGCGTCCTCGCGAGGCAAAGCTGGTCGTCGCCTAAACCCTACCTGGACCCTACGGTTTAGGGTTTAGGGTTTAGGGTTTAGGGTTTAGGGGGCTTCTTCTTATGATTTCAATTAGTCCTATTAAAAACGTAGGTTCTTTTGGGGTCTAGAAGCCTGTAAACCTTTCCCGGATCCGTTTGAGATCAGGAATCTACTTGAAGAAGGATGCTACAAGGGTTGTGCTGGGGTTTAAGAAGGCTTGCTATGAAGAGCGTATCGGATGCTACTCGAAATTGCTGGGTGAACTGTAATAGGGTGTTACTGTCGCCTTTCATTGGTCTTTGGGCCTCTTACCATCTACTGCTGCTACCTTGGCTGCTGCTTGAAGCAAACTTTAAAACACACATGCTTCCTGAGATTTGACCTTGCTCTTATGAAGGCATGCCCTAAGCCCTATCAACCCGAAGCCCTGACAACCCTAAACCCAAAACCGTGCACGGTGAGATCTCGGATGGCACCTTCATAACCACATCATCTCGAGAAGTCCTGCACCCCCTGCACCCAGCTCTGAAACCTGTAACCCCCAGGACAAGCCCTAAACTGCCCTAAACTCTACCCTCGAAACCCTGAAACCCTGAACCCAACTCTGAAACCCGCAATTCAACAACACAACATACAACCCAAGCAAGAACCCTTAAACAAAAAACAATCTGTCTCTCACTCTATTTCTCTCTGTCTCTGTCTCTATTTCTCCTATACGTGCATATATATATATACACACACATACCTACATCTACATACATGTACATATACGTATACATGCACATACACATGCACATACACACACACACATATATATATATATATGTATGTATATATACACACATACACGTCTACATATACGTATACACATACATATACACATACATATACACATACATACATACATACATACATACATACATACATACATACATACATACATACATACATACATAGATATAGGAATATGAATGCAGCAGCATCTACACACACACACATATATATATATATATATACATACATACATATACAAAACGGTGTATATTTTTACATTCGTACACCTATATTACATTCTTCTGTCGATTTGTATTTCTATTTGTACATATGTATAGGTGTGTGTGTATATATATATATACACAGTTATATATATATATATACACATACATACATACACACAGACACAGAGACACACACACACACAGAGAGAGAGAGAGACAGCCCTTATACATCCCATACGAGCCCCTTTAACCGCCCGCCTGCTTCTTGGTACTCCGTATCGAACTGTCGGAGGTCAACGACGTCCTGTGGCGGTGGGGGCGTTTGTCTTCGAGGGTGGGAGGTTTAGGGTTTAGGGTTTAGGGTTTAGGGCTGATCGATGATGCAAAGAGCCGGACAGCAATCTGGATTCGTGCCAGCAGGTGGAGACTGGTTCGGAATCGTAGCGAATGCAGTCTCCGAGAAAGGAGGTGGTTTAGGGTGTAGAAGGAGGGCGCCATGAAGAAAGGAAGCCTACTAGTTCGCATGAAAACTCTAAACAATATACCCTAAATCCTCAACCCTAAACCCGAAATGCCCTAAATCCTCAACCCCAAACCCTAAATGCCCCAAATCCTCAACCCTAAACCCTAAATCCCCTAAATCCTCAACCCCAAACCCGAAGCCCCACAGCATGGCTGCTCATCATCCTTGGGCCTGAAATCCCCCCAAAAAGCCCAGCTCCCAGGCTGGCGAAGGCCCAGCCCTCAGCCCTGTTACGGCACAGGCTTTAGTAGAGTTAAGGGCGTACCCATAGGCCCCATAGTAGGTTTAGGGTTTAGAGTTAGGGGCGTACCCGTAGGCCCCATAGTAGTTCCTTTTTGGGATTACCTTATAGGATTCTAAATATGAGCCCCAAAAAGGAACTACTATGGGGCCTATGGGTAGTGGCGCCTTCATTGGTTTAGTAGGGTTTAGGGTTTACGGAATCTAACATGGGAGCCTCAACAGCTCCAATGGAGGCTAGGGGTGTCTGCCTGTCTCATGTCGGGATCTGTCGTCCCCCTCCAGTCCTGCAACCCAACCAGCTCCGCGACATAGGAGGTGATCTGCCCAGCCATCCACATGGGGCTACCTGTCCTGGCATGTGATGTTTTATCGGGGTCCCGATGCGGCCCATGTGGGGGGCTCTACAACCCTAAACCCGTGTTACAACCCGAAACCCCTAAAGTGCACAAGAACCCTAAACCCTGTATAAACCCTAATGGGGGTTTCAGAAAATAGGGGACCCTAATATAGTACCCTAAATAATAGGATCCTTATTATAAGGACCCCAAAACAGGGTACCCTAATTTTCGGAAACTCCCAAATAAGCCCAGATATGCGGTTATGGATTTAGTGGGGCCGGTGACTGTAGTACCTCTTGCATCACCAGACTTCGTGGGTGGTCAGAAGCCAGATGCGGAGTCATACAAGAGTCGGAGCTCGAGATAATTTAAGCAGCCGGTTTAAGGGTGAGGGTTTGGGGCTTCTGTTCAGGGTTCAGGGTAATTGTAACCGTTGTAACCTTAAGGAAACCCCTCAAGCGCACGTAAGCCGAGACAAGCCACGAGCCCCAAAACCTTGGTCGCAGTCAGAAAAGGACGTCAGAAAAGGAAACCCCTAAACCCTAAACCTTTTAAACCCAGGAGCCCCTAAACCCTAAACCCCTAAACCCTAAACCTAAACACCCCCGAGATCCCTAAACCCCTAAATGCATGTATTTGCCTGGGAGAACGGAGGTTGCAAACAGGCTGTCGGTGGGGTCATCCTAGATATACCTCCACACCGTAGGGTTGAGGGTTGAGGGTTTGGGGTTCATGGGTTTGGTTACCGTACCGTAGGTTTCTGATATAGGGTCCTAGCCATAACACCGGTTGCCCAAAGAAAGGCACTACATTCTAGGGTCTAGGTAACCACTTATAACTTATAACTTCTACGCACTTGCCGATACGATGATGTCTATTTTGTGCCTGTAGGGGTTCAAATAGAATCTTCTTACGAAGTCCCCTGATCCTGCAAATAGACCATGACATAACTTCTGTGTTCACGCGGCTCCGATCATCAGCGGCCCAGAGGTCACACTGTCATCGTCGAAAAGCTCACTTTCCGAGCCTTCGCAGCCTCCCAAACTCCGCGGCGAGAGCAAGGTGCGACTTTCACCATACAGGGCGAAGAGCAGGTTGACGGGGAGGCCTGCATCGAAGCGCCGAAAGGCATTCGCCATGGTCAGCACATCCTTGGCATAGTCACGCTCGGAGGCCTCAGACGTGATCTCATCAAGAGCTGCTGCATTTGGCTCAACCAGAAACTCATCATTCACAGACCCTTCCAGCGGAGGGGCTTGCGCTGTCACAAGCGCAGCTCCTTCATGTGCAGCCCCGGTTTCAGGTCTCTCAAGCTCGCGACGGAGGTCAAGCTCGTCTACGGAGTAGGCCACTGTCCCACGGCGCGATGCACCGGGTTTGCCCTCGAATCGGAACACATCGGTGCTGAAAAGGTCAATGCCATCGGTTGCGCTGATGCAAAGCAGAGGCGGAGTCGTCTCTGTGCCATCCCAGCAACACCCGATCTGCTCAGAGAGCGGCCAAGCAGCCAAACAAACTCCCCTACCTTCCTCGCCTTTGAAGCGTTGCATCTCGAAGAGGAGCTGGACGTCTATGCGACCTTCTCTGCTATGCAGACAGGAACCTGCTTTCTTGAAACTTCCTATGTCTGCAAAGCCTTCTCCTACGAAGCACGTGGCGCTGTTGGATCTGTGGCCTTCTGTGTCCCATCTGGTCCGGAGACGCTGCAGGTGATCTGCACCTCCTCCTCCAGATATGGTCGCTAAAAACAGCTCGCATGGCAAACATGCATGTGTCACGAGGCGTGCATCTTGCAGTGCCTTCACAGCACAAGACAGATCCGCCGGACCATCAAGGACCCAGCGGCAAGGCATCGATGTGCTTACATGTTGCGCCTGTGTTACACCTTGAAGCAATATCGCCAGCTGCTTCCACAGCTGCAAGTTTCCCGGCGAAGCATCCACTGCATCGCACCGTACGGCTGACATGCAATACCATCTCCACAGAGCAGACAGCTTCAGCGAATCATCGTTCACACCACGACAGGTGCACAGCAGCGATACAGCCTCGTGGCATTGCAGAGGACTGGGTGCGACCGCCAGAAAGCCTAGTGCTGCCCTGCCGTGAACCATCGCCATGCTGCAAACACAAAGTGTGGTTTAGGGTTTAGGGCTTAGGGTTTAGGGCAAGTTTAGGGTTTAGGGTCTAGGGCTTAGGGTTTAGGGTTTATGGTTGCGGGTTTAGGTATATTATATAGTTCTGTGCAAGCCAACGAGCGGCTTTACATGTTCCAGAAGATATCAATGCAATCCACCTCAAAATCCTGTAGATACAATCACATTGCAAAACGAACATGGCCTGTTGCACCGGGAAGACGTGAAACAATCAAAAACTGATCACCAACATCTCCATCGACACACCCTGTGCGCCAAAGCGATCAACATGCGGACACCCTATATCCTACTGTTGATGAGATCAATCCTGCATTACCTTAAGGACCCTAAACTATGGGAATTATGGTATATTCCTCTTTATGGGTAAAAAAGCAGGGTTTATATCAACAACCGTATATCCTATTCCCTGAACCGTCAACTCCAACCCTAAACCCTCGGCCAATTCCGGGAACTCCGAACTAATGGAACCCATCTCTCGAACGAAGCAAAAATGGCCCCTAAGAAGAAAGGGGAATAGTGAACAGCGCTCTGGTGCGATGTTATCATACTACAGACATACAAAGACTATGATGTACACATATCTGTGTATATATATATATATATATATAGATATACATATGTTACTATTCATGCATATTTACGAAGACATCGGCTGGGCCTAGAACCCGGATGGTGGTATGCGAAGGAATTGTCTATCCTTAACTTGCGAGCACATGAACCCTAAACCTACAATCCCGAGGGTACTGGAGCCCCTAGGGCCCAGTATAGTAGGGACAACCCTAAACCCTAAACCCTAAACCCTAAACCCCAAACCCTAACTGGAGGGTTAGGGCAAGACCCTAGACTAAGAACCTCCCGCGAGGGTGCCTGGCTCCCTGGATGGGCAAAGGGACGAGGATGCCCGTGACATTGGGCCTGGGCTTTAGGGTTTAGGGTTTAGGGTTTAGGGTTTAGGGTTTAGGGTTTATAGGGTTTAGGGTTTAGGGTTTAGTTTTTAGGGTTTAGGGTTTTTAGGGTTTAGGGTTTAGGGTTTTCGGGAGGATCCGAGGACTTGGCAAGCGGTACAGGTTGATGTAGGGGCCTAAACAATTACCAGTACTACCTTTGGAGGCTCCTTATGATAATCATAGTATAATGGGCCCCAAAACCCTATTCTAATTATTAAGGCCCCTTTATTACAGATAAGCTGGGGGCTATCGCGGTTACAAGCTGAGGTTCAACCCACTTACTGAATCCCCTCATTCTCTGAGTCAGGGCCAGTAGTTGCTGGCTCGGGATGTAGGGCCCAAAGGTTTAGGGCCTGGAGCGTTTAGGCGTGCTGGGTATTTCCGTGTACAAACAGAGGATGCTTTGATTAATTAAAGGAAACGACAGGTAGGGAGTTTGGGGTATGTAGGGCTTCTATCCAAGACCAAACAAACAGAGGATAGAACTGAGCAGTAGCTTACTTCCTCTTCTTTAAACTTGCTTGCTGACCTCAACCGTTTGCCGTAAACTCAACACCGTAAATGTGTTGCGGAAGCAACCCTTTGGAAAGGTAAAGCAACCCTTGAAGTACGCCTTCAAAGCTGAAGGAAACACATTCTAACTATTAAGGCCTGTGACGGCCTGTGTAGATTGTAGGGTTGTGCTGGAAAGGCGAGAGTTCAGTGTTCAGGGTTCAGGGCTTAGGGTTTAGGGTTTAGGGTTTAGGGGCTCAGGGTTCAGGGCTTAGGGTTTAGGGTTTAGGGTTTAGGGTTTAGGGGCTCAGGGTTCAGGGCTTAGGGTTTAGCCTCGGGGCACTGTGCCGCTGCCTGTCCAGTGCTGCATCGGCTCGTACTGGTCAAAGGGGCCGCCAACGTTGCCATGAGTACTCCCGATCCTTATTTCGGACAGGGTGCTTCAAACCTAAAACCACTAACACCTAAACCCTATTGTCAACCTACAAACCCTGAACCCTACAAGCCTCAAGCCCCAAACCCTAGAAAGCCCTATACGCCCCATAAATCTCGAATTAACTCGACCCTCAAAGGCCCTCAACCCTAGCCCGAAGAACAGGCCTGGAGCTGCGATCCTGTGCCCGTGAGTGAAAGCCCCAAAGGCTCAACCGAAACCCTGCACGCTGATCATTACGGGTGTAAGGCTTAGGGCTTACGATCTAGGGGTTCGGGCAAGTTAGGGTTTAGGGTTTAGGCTCTTAGTGTCCTGAATTTATCCCCTCAACTGAAGCCTTAACCGCCCTAAACCCCAAACCCCCCATCTTCCCATCAGCCAGGAGTCTTGTCCACCACATGAAAGTGCCTGCAGGCCAAAGTAACCCGGTGCCCGGCATGGATCAGTCGGGAGATGTAGAGGTTGGTGGTGTCACTGAAACCTTCGTGTTAAGGTTGAGGGCTTTAGGGTTTAGACTTCAATGGTTTAGGGTTGAGGGGTGTCAAGGATCAGCTTGTAGGGTTGAGGGTTTAAGGGTTTAGGGTTTAGGGTCTTGTAGGGTTTAAGGCTTAGCCCCCTACCTATCCTATGTCTTAGAAAGACCAGAATAAGCATGAATCAGCCTTCAACAGAACCCTACAAAAATCTGACAAAACACCCCAAACCCGGAACCCCAAATCGAAAGCTCCTTCTTGAAACCCGGCCCCAACCTCACTTTGAAACCTGAGCACTGAAGATTTGAGACCAGGAACTTGGCAGATCCAGGGGTCAGGATAAAGACAACGACACTCGGGCTTTATGCTTGTCTTAGGGTTTAGGGTTTAGGGTTTAGGGTTTAGGGTTTAGGGTTTAGGGTTTAGGGTTTTACCAACCCTAAACCCGAAACCCTAAACCTGGTTCTATGTATTTCTAGGTGGTTCTGTGAAGATTTCGTGATGCTGCATGGGGCGTTACAGTGGTTTCGTACATAGAGTTTAGGACCCTAGGCACGAAGGCTTTGGGGTAAGCCATATTCGGGATTCGGGTATGAGACTTTTGGCTTATGAGACTCGAGAAATAACACCCCAAAGCGTCCTACCTACCTATATGGGGAGGTACTTACCCAAACCGGAATAGCAATTCCTAAACCCTAAACCCTATACTTCAGCCCTACGATGGAGCTACTTAGGGCCCTTTCGCAATTGACCTCCAGGCGACCGAAGATCAAGAAGTGCTTGCCGCCCTGCCGACCAGCATTGGCGATGCAGGACCTTCGAGCATCTTGGGGTAAAGGGTTTAGGGTTTAGCGTTTTTATAGAGGTAAGGGTTCAGGGTTTAGGTTTTACCAGCACTGGAAAGCGTAATACCCTTTAAGCAGTAAGCACATTACAAGCCCCATAAACCCTCATAGAGGTCCCAAGAGCAAGTTCGAGAAGATGTTCTTGTCTGGTGCAAACCCGATGGCGTGGACCAGCTTCGAGCATGTGAGAAGAAGCTCATCACCACTCCAGACGCGATAACGGCCTGCAGAGTGAGGACCCCACACGACTGTTTAGGGTTTAGGGTTTAGGGTTTAGGGTTTAGGGTTTAGGGTTTAGGGTGCCCCCGCCTACCAAACCACAGGGCGAAGAGCTCTTCAGGAAGAACCCGAACCCTGCAACCTACCTATAGTCTCCCTTATGGGGGATACCTTATAAAATCCTTAAATATATAATTGGTTAAACCAAAAAAAGGAACTACAAAGGAGACCATAGGTAACCCCCTGAGAGTTTAGGGTGTGGCATATAGTTAGAGATGGTGCAAATCAGTTTTGGGGGCCTCCGCATTGAAGTTCTGAGTGAGGGCTGCCTCCTGGGTTCTGGGGCCGTAACATAGGGGCCTTAACAATTAGAATAGGTTTTTCGAGCCCATTCTAGTATACTCACAATAGGAAACCCCTAAAATAGCATTGGTAACTATTTAGGCCTCTACATTAAGCAAGAGACAGCAAACACTGAAACGGTTTTTCCGAACCGAACTGACTTCTCCAATTCCGTCCTGAGACTCCGCCCGCAAAATGGGGTATGGGGCGCGGAGGGGTAGATGGAGGGTCTGAGTACAGGTACGGTACAAGTGCCATCAGAAATCGCGGAGATCTCCAAAAAGACCTAAATCCACATGACAGCGCGTTGGTAACAACGTGACTAGATTGCCCCAACAATCTTCAACCGACTGTCTTCCAAATGTCCAAAGTTGCCGCACCTCCTGTCTCGTCCACTTGAGTCACCTGGAACCAAAGACTTTCAGGTAAACTGAAGTCTCATTCAATTACAGGCATAACCAGCTGAAAAAACAAGCTGAACCCTAAACCCTAAACAAAGCAGTTCTGAACACCTGATGGGCCACATCCTTACGAACCCAACGGTCCATCAGATCGGGGGTCAGCTCAGCCAGCAGCTTGTCGTGATACCCACGAGCCGTGTAGAAGGGAAAGTCGTAGTCATAATCCCACCAGCCTGTCTTCTTCAACCGATGCCAAGAAACTTAAGCCTTCGGGTTTAGGGTTTGGGGTTTAGGGTTTAGGGTCCTGAACCCTATAAACCCTAAACCCAGATAGACCAAGTATATAAGGCCAAAGCTTGAAGTAAGACCAAAGTCTAAGGGTTCTCCCCTTGGCTATCTAAGCCGCTGTAGTTCGTGGACTCGATGGTGGTGACCAAGTCAAAGTTCTCGCCCGCCGCCGTCAGCTTTTCCCAAATACCGAAAGCAGTGCTGCTGACGACGCGGAAGTCGGTACTCGACTGCTGCAGCAGCTTCAGCAAAGGCAGCGAGGACACACCCAAGCCTACCACACAGACCTCGCACTCCATCCTGTTCCTAGCCCCAAGCCAAAAACGCTTCGGCATAGACAGCGATGACATGGGCTTCTTTGCAAGCACCAACCAGCTCACAAATCCGCGCCGTGTGATTTCCGACAAAATGCACCCTCTTTCGGCTGAAAACGTATTCATGGTATCTTGCACCAGGACATGCCGGCAAAACGACAGTAACCATTGAATTGAAACTATCAGGTTTACAGCAACTAAAACAGACTCATGAAGCCCAGAATCCCGGTAGGACGGATTGAGCTTCATCTTTGCCCAAGGCGCCGTGCGGCCGTCGCATGTCACTTCGAAGACGCCGGAGACTTTCCTTAGCCGCCACAGAATAGAAATAATACTCTTCTGGCCTAGGGTTTCGGGTTCTACTATGACAAAAGCACAACATAGTTCCTGTAAGAGCAGTGAAGTTTCAAGCTCGGGACCAGCGACACCTGCGCGAAGGATCAGGGACCGGGTAAAAAAAAGCGTTGCTGGGCTCTTGCTAAAGAACTTGAATCTTTAGGTTACCATAACAAGGAAACCATGTCGTTTACAATAGGTTCTATCGGGGAAGTTCAAAAAGACTATTTGCAGTCAGTTGCATATGTTTTCCTACTGAGCCTTCAACCATCAATCTTAAACCCGAAACCTTGGTTTAGGATTTGGGTTTTGAGGTCAAGCGCCTTAACACAATGCCTTTAGAAGGTAGGCAACAAACACTTCTGAACATCACTATGAAACGAAACCAGAGCCCAAGAACGCAGGAACCTAGAGGCGTAAAGGTGAACCCAGCCCCCGAAAATCCCAAACCCCAAACCAAACCTTAAATCCTAAATCCTGAGCCCTCAACCTTAACCTTCAACCTTCAACCCTAAACCCCTAAA